TATTTATCTGCCACTTATTGGTTGTTGGCTTTGACTTATAGACTATACTGACTAATGTAAGAGATTTGTCCCAGTTTAAAAATAGGCATACACATGCTTAAATGTAAATAGTTGTTTACATACAAAAGTATACGTATAGGTAAATATTGTAGGAATACTTTCAGACCTTCAAAACTTACGTAGATCACTTAATATTTCACAAAATTGGAGCGCATGCAACCTTTTCCCGTGATTTGTCATAGAAAATATTTTGCAAACGCAGAAACAACTAATGAATAAAGTCATTTTATGTGGATAAATTACTTAAAGTGTTTCTCTGTGGAATTGTAAAAAACTACAACCCTGAAGTATATAATAAAACCATTGTTTTATGTGGAGTAACCATTTATTTTAAAATAGTTCTTTGTATATTGACTGTGAAAAAAGTACTAGAAATACAGGCATAAAAATCATATTTTATGTGCAGTAAACTTCAATTGAAGCATTTTTATGTGTAAAATAATACTAGAAAACAATTGAAATATATGGTAAAAACAATTATTTTATGTAGATTACACATTAGTTTAAAAGTATTTCTTGGCGGAATAACAGTGACACACTTTAAATACATGGTAAAACAACTACTATATGTGGAATAGCCGTTAATTTAAGTGTATTTCCTTGTAGAAAACATAGACTGAAACAGTAATTTTAGGTTAAAGTCCAGTGTAATTTAACGGTGAATTTAATAAAAGACACACCGACTTATTTTAAGAATCTGAACGTATTTTTACGGCTTTCAGTATTTGTATCGTAAATTAACATATTTCTTTACAGAGTATCATGTTTTTACGACATTACTTCACACACACAGACATTCGTACAGTAAGAAGTATTCATGAAAAGTTGTGGATACTAAATACGTATAAGATTTGTTAACATGCTATAATATGAATGGTTAGAATAATTTTGGTTTTAGATATGAATAAATGTTACCATATGTAATGTAAATCTTCAATAAAACCTTACCATCAAAACAGTCTAAACTTTTAAATGATCTAGAATAAACAAAAAGTAGTTGTTGATTTTTAATAAAGAGAATAGAAGTAAAACTAGGGATGGATAGCTCTTTGAAATACACCAGTGTATTATTTTATAAATTTTCATTACTTATCACATTCAATAAAAATCCCCTGTTCGTTATAATTAATGTTTATTGAAGAAATGAGCAGAGTTTGCATATATATAGCCAAAACATATATAAGTTTCCTTTCCACCTGTGGATACAAATAACAAAATACTACAAACCTTAAACTCTTCTGTTTTTGTTTTCTACTATTTGCTTTAATTGTGTATTCACTATCTGGAAAATGTTATATTACAAGGCTTCGAAAATGCTAAGAATAACTTTTTAATAAAGCATATTTCTCAGGAAATATACTTTCAAAATAATAGACGCTCTAGGTTGTTTAATACTATATGGTTTTTTGTAAATTGGTTAATACTATATGGCTTTTTGTAAACTGGTTAATACTAGATGGCCTTTTATAGGTTGTTTAATACTAGATGACCTTTCATAAACGAAATAAAGAGATTTTCGCAGTAATAGTTATATTATTTTCTTCAAATATTACTTCACAAAGCCACAATTCACATATATATATTAAGTTTATAGCCTAATGGCATAATGCATGAGAGGCCATTACTGAGAATTTTTAGCAAAGAATGAAATATTTATAGGGTAGATTGTTAAAGCGAACTATCAATTAAAAGAAAAAAATATATGGTTGATTTCAGATTCCTAAATACAACATAACACATTATATACAGGACAAATGTGTAATTTAAATCTAAAACTTGTAATATTTTGGAGTAAAATCATTGAGTTACAATTTGTTACATCTATGTAAGACACCTTACAACATTATGTTAAAACATTAAACCATACTTTTTTTTAAAAAATTAAAAGTCACGAATCTCATTTAAGCAACATTACAGTAGCTGTAATTCTTTTTCTGGTTGACTGTCATATAAACGTTAGGAAAACTTACAATGTCTCGTATACAAAATTCAGTTGGTATGATAACTTGATAATTAAGATCTAGGCAAAGCCATCCTTAATTTCAAACTGATGACCAGAGATAGGACAACAAGTCAACATATCCATTGCCTATTATGCAGCCACTCATAATAGAATAGCTTGATTGATTGCAGTTATAGTAACAACGGCTTCACAGCTGAAAACGCGAACCAATTTTAGTAGCATATTGTGTCTTCACCTTTGAACATTTCGATTTGCAACCCTTCATGTTAACCATTAATCCACACCTGGCCTTTTTATTGATTTGAAATCACGAGGTATTGTTCACAAATTATGTATCATTTACGTTTCGTAACTATTCTAAACTTTACTGTATTTGAAATATGTATTTTATCTGTAACAATAGTCATTCGAAATATTATCTTTCCATTATTTAAACAAATTTTCTAAATTGTAATTTTCATCGTTAAATGAAACATCACAATTGTAAGAAATTACAACATCAATTAATACTCAAGCTGAAAAATGATATCGAAATATAAAATTGGAAAACATATTTTAACTAACTTTTACAAAAAGTAAATATGTTAATATGCATTTCTTCTTCATCATCCGACATTTTTATTAACTGCTTTACACATACTAATATATATAACGTGCATGAAGAAAACACTTAAAATTTTAATACATGTATTTTTTTTCAAAATTGACCAAAATTTTACTTGTCTTGATATTGATTACATGTACTTTATACTTTAATAATTCTTAACTTCGAAATTCAGAATTTTTTAATCAAATTATTGAGTAGAAAATGCAAGATAGCACTTAAGAAGAACTTTTATTTTCTTCATTACCTAATGATAATTACCACTGTGATGCTAACGATAGAAGCGAAAGTAATTATACACCACAGCAGTACTTCTTTGATGAATATTGTAAAATTAGATAATAAAAATAATGCTCACAATTCCCCAACGATTTTCAATAACTTTATTCTTAGTTATTTCTCTTGCTTTAATT